GACCTAACATATTTTTGAAGGCACTTGATTTTACGGTTCTTATTAATTTTAATGTAGTGACGTATTTCAACTGAGGAATATATAAGTAAGCTATATTATATCATTTATATGAATGAATACATGTCAGCGTGAAAATCCTGTTCACATCTATTAGCCCACTTGTTGTGTATTAATATAAAATCCCAATAAATATTATTAAAACTATTGTTTAAATACAACTGCAGGTGGGGATTTATTAAAATCGCACAATTCGATTATCCATGTTACATAATATTTTGTTATATAAAATACAAATAAAATAATTTATTGTAGATATGTAAATAAATCTCAACATTTGTTAATCGAAATTTTATGTCATAATTCAAATAGCCTGAGTTAATCGGATTGGCATCAAAGTATGCCAGTTGACCGAATGACGATTATGAAATTGTTTTCAAAAAAAAAAAAAAACAAATTTTCTTTATGATATTCAATATTTGAGGTCACCTTTCCTAGATTATCTAATTACATTGTATTTCCCTCCTTTCCTCAGCCCCCAGGATAGGGATGTCCCTTAAGAGGTCAACAAAGTCTTTCAAAAGAAAATTGTGTAATTTTCTCCAGAACAATTGTTTGACATTTTCAAAATAAAACAAAAAACCCTTTTACCAGAGATTTAATACCACTTTAAAGACAGCCTAATGCGGATTACTAATCTCCGCACTTTACCTTCAATTTAATTAGCAAACTGAGTTACATAATTTCATAAACAAATGATGTCCGTAGAACTGAAAACAACAACAACAAAAACCCGAAGAACAAAGTGAAATCTGATAAGCAACCAAATAATAAGAACAACAACAATAACAATAACAACAATCTGTTGCAATTATTGTGACAGCAGAACATTAAAATCGTTGAGACGAAAAGTTCAACATGGCTACGAGACATTCGAAACTTGTCTAAACATCTGGCAAAGGAGCAAGAGAAGGAAGAAGAAGAACAAACAAACATTTACAATTGTCCACAAGCTGTGTATGGAGAAGATGCAATCAATAAATCCGATTAAATTTCTATTGGGATGCACATGAATGACAAGCTTCACTCTCGAATTGTTTCAATACTTTGGCGAATTGGTTGGTTCAATGGATCTATTGGTTGATGGCGGAAAAAGGGATTTTTTTGTAATAGCGTCAATTAACGAATTGACGTTGGCATATTACGTAACATAGATATGAATGGATATCTTAAAACAAATAATTTTTAAGGACAATATGCGGATGGCGTAGGGGATAGTATCTATTATCGGCAAGCAACGGCTCTGATTGGCTTTAACATGGCGAAGTCCAGGCTTATCTTGCTCACCTGGGGAGCTATTTACATCACCCGATGAAATAGTGAGCTAATATGTGCCGCAAGTTCACCCATAAGAACTATAAAAAATGGGTTGAGGCGTCGGGTTAGTTGCCCACTCTCGGAAAACCCAACCCAAACTATGAAAAAGCAAAGAAAAAGAAAACCAAGCCCCCCTAATGTTGACGACCCCCGCAAAGGTATAAAGAACCACGATTTGCGAATCTGCACTTGTAAAGTGGGCACGTTGTACAGAACAGGCGTAGTGTTCGCTTTGGCGGATGTACTCAAGAAGTACAAAGCCGATAATATTGCCTTACAGGAATTGCGATGGAAAGGGACTGGCGTAAGTAAATCAGATTATTACGCCGCGTATTATAGCTGCCATGAAACGAGACATGAATTTGGCTGCGGATTTATGGTAAACAGCAGGATAAAAGACCTCGTTTCCAGATTCACTCCAGTAGGTGAGCGAATTGCTATAATCCCTATAAAAGCGAAGTTCTTCTACATCAGTCTCATTTGCGCCCATGATCCGACCGAAGATAAAGATGAACAGACCAAGGACATATTTTGCGAGCGCCTAGGAACAGCATATGACCGTTGCCCTGGCCATGACATTAAAATTCTGCTAGGAGATTTTAATGCAAAAGTCGGAAGGGAAAATATATTTGGCCCCACCGTCGGAAAATTCAGCCTCCATGAAGAAACATCAGACACGGAAACTCGACGTCGAAAAGCTGCAAACACAACAGGTAGCCAAAGCATACTCCGCTCAACTTAGCCACCTGCTTGAAGAAAGCACTTCTTGTCCCGATAAGAGTATAGAAGCACAATTGCAAAAATTGCGCACTCCCTACAAACGGCAGCAAAAGCAACATTTGGGTACCAAAACCACCACCAAGAAACCCATGGTACGATCAGAAATGTCGTAATGCTACCGATTTAAAAAACGCAGCAGCAGGGTTGCCCCTGCAAACAGTAGCAACACGTAATGTGATGGAGAATTATCGGGAAAAAAGGAGAGGAGAAACGTGTTTTCAGAAAAAAGAAAGAACAAGAAAAACGTGAGCAAATCGAGGTGTACAGGAGTCAGAAGGAAGTCCGGAAATTTTACCAACGAGTAAAACACCAAACCGAAGGTTTTAGTGCAGGCACATCCTCCTGTAGAAATGAAGAAGGAAACCCGGTGACAGATACAGACAGCGTGTTGAGAATCTGGAAGGAGCATTTTGAAAAGCTTCTGGTATCAAATAGTGGCGGTGAAGAAGATACCCCAGAACTAATAAGAGATGACGGTACAGAATGTATACCACCTAGCCAAGATGAGGTCAGAATAGCAGAACAATAAAGCTGCAGGAGCCCATTGGTTACCAGCCGAAGTATTCAAGACTGGTAGTCAGGAGCATGCACCAGCTGGTTAGTACAATTTGGCTAAAAGAATGAATGCCCAATGATTGGAACCTCAGCATCCTGTGTCCCGTGCACAAGTAAGGAGACAAGGCGATATGTGCCAACTATAGAAGAATAAGTCTCCTTCCCATCGCTTATAAAGTGCTATCCAGCGTGCTGTGTGAACGACTGAAGCCAATGGTCAATGACATTATTAAACCATACCAATGCGGCTTCAGACCTGGCAAGTCCACTATTGACCCTATTTCCCCCCTGCGCCTAATCCTGGAAAAGACCCACGAAAACACATTGACACAGACCACCTATTCGTCGACTATAAAGCCGTATTCGACAGCCCTATCCGTTCAGAGGTGTTAAAGTCATGTCTGCGTTTGGCATTCCTGCAAAATTAATTCGGCTATGCAGGATAACTTTAACTGGCACAAGATTAGCAGTTAAAGTCGGAAAGGACCTCTCGGAGCCCTTTAATACCGAACGAGTATTTAGACAAGGTGACAGTTTGTCGTGTGACCTTTTTAATATCCTGCTGGAAAAGGTCATACGAGAGGTAAAGGTGAACAGAAATGGCACTATGTACACCAAACAACAAATGTTACTCGCCTACGCCGATGACATCGATATAATGAGTCGAACATTGCGAGCGGTAACAGCCACCTTTGAAGAAATTGAGAAGGCAAAATGGCAAAATGGGTCTAGCGGCAAACGGCGAGAAAGCCAAGCTGATGGTATCAACGCGCAAAACGTTTAGTAGACTCGAACCAACTGTGGAGGTAGTCAAAGATTTTATATACCTTGGTACCGCCATAAATAAAACGAATGACATCAGTTTTGAAACTCGGAGAAGGATAGTGATGGCCAACAGATGCTACTATGGTCTGAGCAAGCGACTCAAAAGCAAGGCCACCTCCCACCAGACCAAACTCACCCTCTACAAGACGCTGATACTACTCGTGCGGATCGTTATACGGATCTGAAGCATGGGTACTTACGCAAACAGATGAGGCAGCTCTTGGAGTGTTTGAGAGAAAAATTCTCCGAAAGATCTATGGATCGATCTGCGTTGATGGTGAATATCGCCGTCGAATAAACCATGAGTTGTACCAGCTATTCTCGCAAATCGACATTGTTAGACGTATTGAGCTGCAACAACTACGTTGGCTAGGTCATGTTGTGAGAATGGATGAAGATGCCCCGGCCCAGAAGGCATATAAAGGAGAACCAGCTGATGGCTCACGCAGAAGGGGAAGGCCAAGAATATGTTGGAAAGATCAAGTCGAAGACAACATCGCCGAAAATGGCCTTTCAAATTGGAAAAACTGCGGAAAAGACCGATGCGCCTGGAAATCATTTCTAAGCTCGGCTTATGGAACGAAAGTTCTGTCACAAGCCAGCTAAGTAAGTAAGGACAATATGCAGTAATGTATTTCTTACGAATATTAGTTCCAATGTTGCACACAAAGGTGTGGATTTTTAAAAAATATATTTCCTAGGATTTTGAACATCTCAAATCTAAAATGAAACAAACAAAATATCAAACTAAAAAAATAATTACTCAAGGCTTATCGAAGCATGAATTTCTTTGAAATATAATTTCTTTAAGGGTTTTAGAATCGATATTGTGCATTAATGAAAAGAAAACGGTAATTTAATATTCAAAATATTTTGTAATGCATCAATAGCGACATCTATCCAAATATAAACATATATATGTACATGTACATGGACTGTCATCAATCAATTAATCATTGAGTTGAGATGCATTGAAGCATTTAGGAAATGACATCGACGAACTGGTGATGGGTAAAAACCCACTTTATTTCACTTCCACCGCCAGCCGCAGCCACAGAAAGTTCTATAAAAGCTGAACTCTAGAACACGAGAAAGTATCAGTTTATGTTTGACCACTCACTGTAAATACATAATTTGATTTCGATTTATTTTTTCTGAAAAACACACAACAAAGTTGCAGTTTTGAAAATATTGCTAGCAAAATGTTCAAACTGGTAAGAGAAACAATGTGCGAAAATAATGTCAGAAATGAAAAAAATATGTACGTTTTTATTTCCAGTTACTAATCACTTTGGCTTTAGTTAACTTGAATGAGGCCTCGTTGTCGAATTTACATTTGGTTGTACCAGACGACTCTTACACGTTGCTAAGTAGCGGTAAATTATCCTCATCTTCATTGCGTGGCAGTAGTTCGGTTACTCTGTCGAATGCACTTTCAGATGAGGATACTTCGAACAGTGTTGAAAATGAAGATCAGGCATCGGAGGAAGCCACTGCCGCTCCAGCAGCTGTGGTATCCGCTGCATCCGCACCGTCCACACCAGCATCTACGTCAGCAACCAGTGCCCCACCATCAGCCGCAGCATCACCGGCCGGTGTAAATCGTGCCAGACCCAATTCAAATCTGTCAGGACTTGCATCAGTTAGTTTGTCGCGGCCCTCTGTTGTGGTATCTTCCTCAACAACGGCCCAAGCTTCAGCTTCATTGCCATTGGTTTCGGCCAGGTCCACAGCTACCATCCAGCATCGCATTTTGCCGGCTGAAACCATTCCCCTGCCCATTACCATTTCCCAGCGACCTGGTTTGCGTACCGTCATTGCTCCCGAGACCATAACCATTCAACAACCCACCATTGCTCGAGTGGGCGAAGTTGTGCAGCAAATCCCCACCGCAGTATCCCACCAACGTCAAACTGTTGTTCACAAACATGCCCGAGTGGTTACACCCATTGTGGCCCCAGCTGTTCGCACCTTAACTTCACAAATTGTTCGCGCATATCACACACCCTTGGTCTATGCTCCCCAAGTGACCACAAATTAATTGGGTTCTCTCTGTTACAGTTATTCTCATCATTTCAGATAAAAAAAAATTGACAAATTTTTTATTTACAAAATTCTCTTCACTAAGAATAAGTTTTACATTTAATTTTTAACAATTTCCTTTGGCTGCCATAGACATATTGTTGTTGTTCTTAAGAAAGCGATACGAAACTATTTTTTTTATTTTGGTTTTATTTGTAATTGGTTTAGAAGAATTTAGATGAATAAAAAAATAATATTTTACTACCAGCAAATTTTTGTGTTAACATTTTTTTTTTTTTTTTTGAAGAATGAGGAAATGGAAAAAAGAATGAACATAATTTTTTAATCAACGCCTATATTGAAAAAAAAATATTTTTTTTTTAAATACAGGCATATGTTTGTCCATGAGATACTGTGAAAAATATATATTTTTATACCCTACACAACTATGTTGCGCAGCCCCAAGAGTTAGTGACGCCGCGAAGGATGGGTTCTGGTCAATGTAGACCCCTATTGTTTTGATATTTAAGGTATGAAATGGACCAAATACTGAATTTTTGTCGGTTTCTGTGGTCGCTCCAGAGGCCGCAATTATGGTCCGAACATCACGAAATTTTACATGAAGAAGGGGATCGGGTCAAAGAAAAAGCATTCCTGTTCTGATAAAGATCGGTCAATATTTAGCGGGTCAAATGGACCCTGACTTTTGTGTGAAAAATGACAAAATTTGTATTCTATGGCATATGTATTTAGCCCTGAAAGACATAGCCCGAGAAGTTGATATTATATCCAAGTGGAGTGGTTGACCTTTAAATTGATACCAATTATATTGTCGTATGTACTCGGATGGGGAGATAAATAAAATATTTACAGGTGCTTACGTATTCAGATATTATTTAGTACCCAGACTAGCGGGCGAAAATATAGCGCTGATCGCTTTGAAATTTTCCATGAGATTCCAGTTGTGGTCAAAAATAACTCCTATAATTTTCGGTGACGATCAGATAATAATTTTGGGATGAAGTGCACCGAAACTTAATTTGTTTGTTTTTTTTTTTCAGTCGATCTATACGCTACAATTATAAGCCGAACAACACAACACAACTTACGGTGAAGGGAATCTGGACAAGTAATTAAAAGGACAGTACAGAATATTAGTAATATTCAGAATATATGTCAGTGTAAGGAAGAGATGCTATTGACCTCTAATCGGGCAAGCGGCTGGAAATATCCCGAAATATTGCCCAGGCTCAGGATAAACATCCGCAGAAAGTTAGAGTTCCGTGTGTAGGGTATCGCATGGTCGGCCCCGTCCGACTATACTGCTCCGCTCACTGGTTTTTTAATTATACCCTAAATTTTTGTCGGGTTTTCTGGTCGCTCCAGAGGCCGCAATTATGGCCCAAACATCGCGCGAGATTTTTACATGGAGAAGGGATTCCGACCAAAGAATAAACATGCCTGTTTTGAGAAAGATCGGTCAATATTTAGCTGCTCAAATAGACCCTGACTTTTGTGTGAAAAATGACAAAATTAATATTCTATAGCATATATATTTACTCCTGAAGGACATAGACCCGAGAAGTTGAAAACAGATATTCTAAGAGCAGTGGTTGACCTTTAAATTGATACCAATTATATTGCCATATGTTCTCGGATGTGAGAGTTACTCTTAAATA